GAGCATAACCGCACATCCCCGCCGTAATTTTGAATTATTTTGATGCAATTTTGACCTGAAACTGTATCCGATTAATACTCTGGACTTAAATTTGCCTTTATTAGTGACCCAATTCTGGTAAAAATTTAGCTACTTTGATTTCCGAGGCTTTCTACTTGTAGACCAGTGTAATTTTTGTTGTCAGGGTACCCTAATATTCATATTTTACTGTTGTATGGGTTCTTTTACTCTATATAGTATACATGATTATATATATTCTTTTACTATTTATCAAATGCAATATACAAGATGCGGTTGGTGGATGCCTTAACCTAACACACGTGTTTTTCATGTTAAGTCTATAACACAACATCTCCAAGATAGGATTCAGAAAGCACTCCTTCTGTAGTCCTGTTTTTCCTTTTTTTAGTAGTGGAAGCATGGATGGAGGACATTTTGTTATCCTTCTAGCCTCTGCATTTTCCAATTTTGGAGTTATGCACAAAGGTAATTCTTAAGAGTACCTGTACCCTTGTACATTGTGGTCTCTCAGGAAGTCGTCCAAAAGCCTCTTGAATGATTCCAGATTAATTGCGGAAATTACCGCTTGAGGCAGTGAGTTCCAGACCCTAACCGCGCGAACTGAGAAGATGGCCTTCTCCTTGCCGTTTGTGACCATCTTCCCATTTTTGTCCTTTATTGGGCCTATCTGCTCCTTTCTCCCCTTTTTACTGTATAAATATTGGTAACATTTTTTTTTTCTTTTTTTACAATATGTGGCAATATGCTTTTCGCACTCTATTTTAGGTGCCCGTATTGCTAGTTTGCATCTTTTATTACAAAGCCCCATTATCTAGTTTAAAAGCTCCTCCAGTCTTTCTACCATTTTTCCCCCCAGGAATGCTGCACCTTCCCCATTAAGATGCAGCCCGTCTCGGTCGAAGAGCCGGTAGCCGACTGCGAATGATGTGCTTCAAAAACTGTTGCAATATGAAGCCCTGTGGATCTTTTATTTTTTTGTAATTGTAGGTTCCACAGGGTTTTAACTAGCGGTGGGTCATTAGTTTTGTGCAATATGTGTCATAATATTTCGATGTTAGTGTCCCCAGTGTCATTATGGGCTTTTACCATTTAATGTTTGATTTTGATGATGTTCACCCATAATTTTTAAGTGTGTATTCTCTTTTCCTCTGCTTTGTTTTTAATGCAATCACATGGACTGTTTCTTAGATACAGGTGCTCCTAAGTGTTTCTCCCCACCCTGTGTGGCGTGCCATTTTAGTGGGGTTGGTGTTAGATCACAACCAGCTATGACTAAGGCTGAGTAAGGCAGAAACCTGGGTGTGGGGACACACCAGTCAAAGCATTCCCAGAGTGAAAGGAACGCACCACCCAATCCCAAGACAGACACTGCAAGGTAGTCCCCGCGACTTCAAGATCCAATAGGGACCACCTGGATGTCTTCGGGTGGCTCCACTGTTGGAAAGCATCATTGACAGCTTATGGACAGGGTAGTGTTAAGAAATAACTACATTAGCTACTTTCCAGCATTTGTCGTTCGTTTGGCACCCAATGAAATCAATGGGAATGCGAGGCGAGAAAAAAAAATGCAAATGTGTTGTGTGTTCCCAGTATGCCTAGCTGTGAACAGGGACTTACATCAGTTGCAGCAAAAAGGTTAAAGTCATTGATAGTTTTCAAATGGCAATATAGAGACTGTCCGCTATATGTTACCATAGCTTCCTAGCCAGTTTAATGGTGCCAGTCTAATTTTAGATGAAAGATCATAACAAAAAATTACAAAATAGGCATTTCAATGTAATTTGGCAACACTGCTCTCGATCCTGCAAGTCTAGAGTTTCCATCAAAAAGATATGTTAGGGTATAATATGAGAACTGCAATTATTGACTTGTTTTGATGGTACATACTACACACCGATACCATTTTTCAAGACCAAGCACAAGTACTTTCCCTCAGGTACTTGCGGATACCAATTACAGATACTTTTTCTTAAAAGGGACATGCAACATTTTTTTTAAAACAATACAGACTAATGCTTTTAGGACAATTTCTTTATAATTATGAAGAAATGTAACTAAATCCATGATTATACTTGTACTGAAACAAAAATATTTCAATTGACCGAGTGCCCGCAATTTGCAAGTGAAATTTAAAATCCATGGTGCGGGGCTGCACCGGACAACAGTTGGGGTAGATAGTACACCGGTACCGGCGGAGGGGAAGGACCGTTCGCCAAAAAGTATAGTGGGGGTAGTGTGGAAGGTGAAGAGTTGACCAGATTTAAGCGGGTAATTTGGTTTTCTCAATTTACTTAGGAAAGTGAACTTACCCTTTAATGTGAATTGTGCATGTTAGAGAGCGCTACTACCACAATATGGCGCACAGTGGAATGAGGGCAGCACTTGGCGCGTGCGCACTCACACTGTCCTACGCATGCATTCATTCACACGCAGATGAAAGGGGGCGGCGTTGGTTTTTATTTTAATTTGTATCTTATTTAATTTTTTTGCACTTTTTTACCTTAACACCTATTTTTTTAATTTTTATTTTGTATGTTCTACTTTTTTATCATTTTATATTTATCACTATTTTTTTCACTTAACTTTATTGATAACACAAGGGCCAACAAGCCCCTATGCGATATAATTCAGGAGGTGACAGGTTCTCTTTATGAGCTAGCCCTCCAGTACAGAAAATTCAGCACAGCATTGTGCTCTATCTTCTGTACAGCTCTATTTGTTATAGCCGACACAGAATGTGCTGTGAATAAAGCACTCCTGTTTCACGGATCACAGAATGGACATTCTCCACTCTCCATCCTGTACTACTTTACATGCACTGGAAAGCATATTGCAACAGGGTAAGATTAACTCAAATCTAAGGACTTCCTCCACCTCTCAGACACAGACATAAGTATCTTTACATTAAAGTATGTATTATCTCCTTATTAGGTAGGTAAAGAAAAAAAATAACAAAAATAAAAGAGAAGTCTGACCAAACATTTTTTTAACCCCTTCATGACAGCTTGTTTTTAGTTTTGGTTTGTAAATGGCCGACGCACTTGACAGCTTTGCTGTGTGATTCTTCCACGTCATTAATACTTTCCTACAAAATGTATCCACACATTATATATTGTTTTTAGAGGACAGACAGGGATATATAGATATATATAGATATATATATAGATATATATATATAGATATATATATCACATATGTGTACCTAACACCTCATTTAGGACAAATAAAATTTAAAAAAGGAGGGAAAAAAAGTAAAGAAAACACCTTTGCCCCAATTTTGATTTGTGGTATATTTTTAGAAAAATAGCACAGCTAAAGAATGCATTAGATACATTCATTTAAAACCTCACATTCCTAGGATCTTAGATTTTTTTTCTGTACTTCTCAGCCTAAAACTAAAACCTAACATTTTAATATTTTTGCTCTAAAAAGGTAAAAGTGGTCACCTGGCATACAATGTCACTAAGTGCCCTACTTAGTGACAGCGACATAGTTTGAACATCACTGTCATAAGGGGTTAAATTTTAAAAAATACCCCCTTAGGGTGAAAAACAAATCTGCAGCTCGGCTGCAGATTTTTATTGTAAGGGTTAACTTTTTTATAATTATAGTATACAATTATATTTAAATATAATCAAATTTTTTTCTTACATTTTTTTACACCATTTTTTTTTTACACTTTTCACTATTTTTACATTTATTCATTGTGAATGAATCTCACTATTACTGCTTAATAATTTAATTAATTTTTGGTTATTATTAGGCTGCTTCAAACTTAAGGACAGCCAATAATAACCTTAGTGACACTGATCCTGCAGCATTTCAGGAGCAGATGTCACTAATGGTTTTCTGATCGTTCCCACAATGATCAGCAAACCTGCAACATTGTATCAGCAATAAAAACGTGTATCCAAATGTTTCCATTGCTGAAAGTTTAGGGGGAAAAAAAAGCAGGTATACATCTGGATTTTCATGATCTATACTAGCTGTCAGTTAGAGCAGTAAACACCACTCTGCTCTCACTATCGGACACCAGATTCCTTAAAGGGATCAGGTGTCTGAAAAACCTTAACTCTTTCATTGATGGATCCCTCAATACGGAGGCATCCATTAATGAATGGTAACCTGATTCTCAGCGGTTACCAGCCTTACAGAACTCCAAATAGCTAATGTACAGTCATTTGGGTCACTCCCATGATGGACTACAATTTCAATACAAATTAGTAAACGTGAGATTGTAGTCCATCACGGGGAGCAAGTTTGGTCCAGTTGCTACTTTACAACACAAAATACTACATTAACACGTGGTCGCAGGAAATAGGGGAGTTGGATAGAGCAGAAAAAATGGAGGCATGTGTGCTGCTATTTAACAGTCCAATCAGCATGCGAGGGGTTACAACTTGGTTTTTGAGACTGTGGTATCTGGCAGGGGTGACTGGATCACAAAACGGGCTGAGCATAACTGCAGATCGACTGCCAAATATTGAAGACTATATTTCAACTGCATATTTCAGTGAAAATATCATGTAAAAAATGCATACAAATTATTATAGTAGTCTTATTTTAGCATCTTAAATGGGATATAGCAGTTCACAAATTGGTGTGAAAAAAATCTAATGAAATAAACCTAAATGAAATAAATCTAGAAGACTGGGATAACCTGGACAAGTATACAGTTACATGTGTGCATCTGAGTGTTCTGCCCCACTACAATGTAGACTGTTTTGTGTTTATACAGAGGGAAGCACAATGCAGTCAGTGTCCTTGAAAGAGCTATAAAACCACTTTCCTGGAAAAAGGAGTTAAAAAAAAACCCACCAGGACTGGACAATAAAATATGATCAACGCCATACAAAAAAGGAGCTAAGTGCCACGTACAAAAATGTATTGTTATTAATGCAGCAATACGGATTCTAATTCTTACATAGACTCTACTGGGATCAAGCTGTACATTTGATGTGAAATAAGATGGAACCTACCTGGCCTCTGCTGCTAGCAGCTCATCATAGTGCGAAGATCTCTGGTCATCATCCTGACGGTAACGAATCACAGTAGCCAGGCCTTTGCTTATAAGAGCTTCTGCAATGTTTCTGAAACAAAATAATATACAAGTCAGCAAAAAAAATGTTCTATGCCAACAAAATTGAATACATGATTGAAGTGTTAGCCACTGCCCTAAACACAAAGAAATATATACAGTCATGTTGGAACAGAAAGGGGCCATTCTCAAACTGTTCTCAGAAAGTTGGAAGTATGAAAGCGTCCAAAATGTCTTGGTATGCTGATGCCTTAAGAGTTGCCTTCACTGGAACTAAGGGGCCAAACGCAACCACTGAAAAACAACCACACACCATAATCCCCCCTACATCAACCTTTAAACTTGGCACAATGCAGTCAGGCCAGTACCGTTCTCCTGGCAACCGCCAAACCCAGACCCACCCACGAAGCGTGATTCGTCACTTCAGAGACCACGTCTCCACTTTTCTAGAGTCAAGTGGCTGCATGCTTTACACCACTGCATCCGACGCTTTGCATTGCACTGATTTAAGGCTTGGATGCAGATGCTTGCCCATTTAAACCCATTCCATGAAGCTCTCTACGCACTGTTGTTGTGCCAAACTGAAGGCTACACAAAGTTTGGAGGTCTGTAGCTATTGACTCTGCAGACAGTCGGCAACTTCTGCGCACTGTGCGCTTCAGCATGCGCTGACCCCGCTCTGTCATTTTACTTGGACTACCACATTGTGGCTGAGTTGCTGTTCCCAGTTGCTTCCACTTTGTTATATCACTAACAGTTGACCGTGGAATATTTAGTAGCAAGGAAATTTCACGGATGGACTTATTGCACAGGTGGCAACCTATCACGGTACCACACTTAAATTCACTGAGCTTTCGTGAGAGTGCCCCATTCTTTTCACAAATGTTTGTAGAAGCAGTCTGCATGCATAGGTGCTTAATTATATACACTTGTGGCCATGGAGGTGATTGGAACACCTGAATTCAATGATTTGGAGGGGTGTCCCAATACGTTTGGCAATATAGTGTATGTTGAAATATATGCATATATTGATACATTTGTGTAAACAAGAAACTACTATATAAAACCATTTTTGTTGTATACAGGCGCTAAAAAGGAGGGATCTGTGCCTTGCTTAGTTGACTTTCACTGCATATAAAGCTGACATTCCCAGTGATCCTTTTGTGATTACACCAGTAAGATAGCCGTCATACTATAGCATTAATTCATTTGGAATTCCCACCAAACTTGAGTCCAGCACATTACTGCCACCTGTGCCAGTGGGGGCACCTTTTACTGTGACAACTGTCTAAGGGAATTTTGTCTTCAGTTTGGAGAGATTTCTTCTTACTTCCTAGTAAGTCTCTGAGATCAGGAAGTAAAGGGAAGCCTCAATGACAGTTAAGATTTCTGTCTTCTTCTGTCTTTCCTATTAACTACTCTACCCAAAATAAAAAATGAAAACATTTTGGCTTTACCAACTCTTAGGAGACTATTCTAACAGATTGAATGAAACCTGTTCATACAGCGGGGCTAATCTCTGTATGCAAATCCCATAGCAAATCCCTGAACAACCTGTGCAACGGTTTTACATTTTTAAAAACAGTCTGTGCATAAGGAACTAAAGAGAGAGACAGTCCATTCTTAAGTTGCCTTTTTTTTACTTCTTTATTGGGAGCAAGAGCTACTCAACCATCAACCAACTAAAAAAAACAACAACAAAAAACAGCCAGACAGCACACTCTTGATGGCGGGTGGGCGTTTTTAATTGGCCCGTCCCACCACCCCTGCATGTGCATGAGTGACAATAGAGCCGTCTAATCGCTTGTATGATGTCGAGACGTACATTTACCTGACATAACCCGATTGTGAAGGACTGAACCGTCACTGGGGCTGTTGGAGGAACCTGAGGGCTAGCCTCCTTCCTACCGACTATGGACCTAGGACTATAGAACCATTATCCTAGGTTTATGTGTGGAGGGATGTACTGCATATTTTCCCTGGCATTACATTTAAGTGACCCTATGTTTATTATAGGTACAGGCTGTGAATCCAGCAGCACTGAAGGGGGATAATTCTGGACATTGAACTTGTTACAGTTTATTAGTCCCTTTGTTGTATTGTGTTAATGATGGGATTAAGATAGCTGACTATAGGAGTAAAGGAGTCGATTACCATGATAGACACTCAGCAGATAATCCCATCACATGTTTCTCCTTTCTCCCTATTCATTCATTAAGGCATCGGGGAGGGGATGTCTGTTTGCATGCTGTTCATGTTTGATTGCGTTATGTTTTTAGACTTCTTGAACTGTATAAATACTGAGCATGTCTTCAATAAAGTAGTTCTTGATTTCCTCTTCAACATTGATGTTGTCTGATGATTGAGGAGGTTAGCATTCTCTAATATATTGGTTCTGTCCAATAATTAGGCAGGTTTGGGCTGATGACACTGGAATTCGGGATCCAGTGGAGAGGAAGCTGATTCACACCCATCTTTTAAATTTTTCCAAAAAATTGGGTAATAATGTTTCATAACATACCATAACATAGGAAAAACAGGTTTGTTCGTTTAAAATAATTAGCCACTATATAGTAAAAAAAACCCACAACTCAGTAGTGATTAAATACAACCAAAAGAAAGTTCTACCTGTCCCCCAAAAATGATCTAAAATTAATTTCATTACACCACTGCATGAATAAATGTCAAATTACCTCATTTCTGAATACTGAAAAAAGGAATGGAGAGGAAGGGGGTTTAACACCCCGGTCAGCAAGTGGTTAAAGTAACTCATCTTCACTGCGATTACAATAATTTTTGGTCACACATGGTAAAATTTTAAACCCTACAAATTACCGCAACCAAATCTTGAGCAATACATTCATTAAAAGTGATCATGCTCCCAAACAGCTGTGCGTGTAAATGTTGCCTTTTACTGTCAAGTCTTAGGAAATAATGCTCAGATAAAGCCAATTTGAAACAAAATGGTCATAGGGTACTGAAATGAGGCAATGGCAAACACTGGAAAGGATTTGGGGAACGTCTAGCAGCTCCTTTGAAACACTCTTTCAATTTTAAAATGTGTGTAAATGCAGCATGGGATTTAGTCTGTGCCAGCCCAGCGCAAGGTTCACTGAACAAAAGTAATTATCCGCAACATACTTTTGACATTTCAGAATTCTATTTGTTTCACATTCCCACACCTTTCAGTTGGCAGAGCCTGGCTTCCGCAAATCATCAGACAGTGGGGAACAGAGGGGGGATGTGTGCAATGATTCAAACCGAGGTAAACCACTTCCGAAGGGACACTAGCCACATTCTTTAAAAAGATGGGGGGGGGGGGGGGGGTGTGC